GCCTCATCACGCCGTTATAAAGGCAGAAAGCACCTCAACAAAAGTTCGGGTAGTGTTCAATGCCTCGAGCCCTAAGGCTAATGGCAGGAGCTTAAACGAGGTTCTTCTCCCAGGTCCGGTACTCCAAGCAGATCTTCCGACATTAATACTCTGCTGGAGATTATACAAATATGTTTTCAATAGTGATATCGAGAAGATGTACCGGCAAATTATTGTGAATGACAATCAGACGAAATATCAACGGATTGTTTTTCGGAAAAATCCGAACGAACCCGTCAGTCTATATGAGTGAAAGACTGTCACTTTCGGAATTAACTGTGCTCCTTATCTCGCGATAAGGACACTTTTGCAGCTGCAGATGATGCGGAGAGCTCCTTTCCAGTAGCAGCAAACATACTTCGAAAGTCGATGTATGTGGACGACGTGCTAGCTGGAGGACATTGTCTGGACTCTGCCCTAAAAGCGAGAGACGAAATTAGTCAGGTTTTGCGGTCAGCTGGGTTTCCACTACGAAAATGGACCTCCAACTGCCAGGAAATTCTCAAAGATATCCCAAAAAGTGATTTACTCAGCGAGGATTTTTTAGCGTTTGAAGATACGAGTGCAGTAAAGGCTCTTGGCATACGATGGAATGTCCACTCGGATTTATTTTATTTTACGGCCAGACCATTGGAAAACAGCGGTGCTCTAACAAAAAGAGCAATATTATCAGGTATCGCCAAACTTTTCGACCCGCTAGGCTGGCGGCGCCAATCATAATTGTAGCCAAAATACTTATGCAAAGTATTTGGCTAGAGGGCACAGACTGGGATCAGCCTGTGTCTTCAAATACTTTGGAGCGTTGGCGGAACTTTGCGCAATACTACCACGAGATAGACAATATCCGAATACCCCGATGGGTAGACTATGGGCTAGGAGAGAACATCGAGATACATGGCTTCTGCGATGCATCAGAGAAACCATATGCGGCCACTACATACATGCGCGTTAAAAAAGGTGGAAAAGTTTTCGTCCACCTTCTTCTGGCAAAAACCCGTGTAGCTCCCGTAAAAACCATATCGTTACCACGATTGGAACTTTGCGGAGCTGTGCTACTGGCAGAAATCATCGAATCGATCCTCAACAATCTGAAACTAGGAGAGGTAAGAACGCATTTCTGGACGGACTCGACCATTGTATTGGTATGGATTCGGAAACCGCCTTCTTCTTGGTCAACCTTTGTGGCACACCGAATAACGAAAATTGTGGATAAAGTTGGCAACAAGGACTGGCTGCATGTAAACTCAGCATCGAATCCAGCCGACCTGGGGAGCCGAGGACTTCCAGCATCTGAATTGGTCAACAATTCCTTGTGGTGGCAGGGACCTTCTTGGTTGCAAGAAGACAACTCCAAATGGCCCACACAAGAAACGGACTGAACAACAACACAGTAGTCGAAGAAAAGAGAGCACATGTGTATGCAACAACAAAAGTAGCTACTGTCGATATTCTTGATCGTTTTTCCGATCTACCTAGGGCTTTGAGAGTGTTATCTTATATCACGAGATCCTTTCAAAGAACCCACCCAAAGACAAAAACTTCATTTAAAGAGAAGTCTTGCTTAATTTCATCCGATGAAATTAAAACAACGACTCAACGCTTGATTAAAATTTGTCAAAAGCAATATTACTTTGAAGAGTATGGTAAATTGAAATCCGGAGAAGCCATCGATGCGAAGAGTGAAGTTTTGCCCCTTAATCCATTTCTCGATAGAGATTATATCATGAGGATGGGTGGTCGCCTCGGCGCTTCTCAAGATCTGGTCTATAATGAGCGCCATCTAATTATCCTTCCATACGATTGTAGATTTTCTCGCCTTCTTGTCCAGTTTGTCCATGAGATTTCCTTGCATGGGGAAAACCAACTAATGTTGCGTCTCATTAGGACGCAATATTGGATTCCCCGAGTCAAAAACATGATCAGGTCCGTCATCCACAACTGCAAAGTCTGCACTATCTATAAGAAACGGTCGCAAACCCAACTTATGGGAAACCTACCAAAAGAACGAACGACGTTCTCGCGTGCGTTTACAAACACAGGTGTCGATTTTACCGGGCCCTTTGACATTAAGAGCTATCGCGGCCGCGGTTGCCGCATTTCCAAAGGCTACGTTTGCCTTTTCGTTTGTTTTACGACTAAAGCCATTCACTTGGAAGCGACAAACGATCTCAGCACCCCATCCTTTCTGGCAGCATTCGCCAGGTTTGTCGGTAGAAGAGGATGTCCGAAAAACATTTACTCCGACAACGGTACCAATTTTGTCGGAGCTTCTCGATCATTACGATCCGAAATGAAGGCGTTCATAGCAGAAGCGCGTGATAAAACCGTATCGAAATATGGTCATCAAACGCTTACATGGCATTTTATACCCCCAGCAGCTCCTCACATGGGCGGACTGTGGGAGGCGGGTGTAAAGAGTTTCAAAAACCACTTCAAAAAGATTGCATCCACCCATAAATACACCTTTGAGGACCTCAGTACCTTTTTATGCCGAGTTGAGTCTTGTCTCAACTCGCGACCTTTAAGTCCCTCATCGAGCGAGCCAACTGACTTGGAGCCTCTAACTCCTGGTCATTTCCTCATAGGCGGTCATTTACTCGCGCCACCGGAATTAGATGTAAATGAAAATCCAGCCTCCATAGTAAATAGGTGGCAGAAATTAAAGGCATTACATCAAACCTTTTGCAGGCGATGGAAGTCAGAACACCTATCTGAACTACAGAAGCGAATTAAGTGGAAACATCCCAAGGAAAATATTAAACCTGGTGACCTGGTCGTCATCAAGGAAGACAACTTAGCCCCAACCGAATGGAGGTTAGGACGAGTTGTCAACGTACACCCCGGTGCCGACAGCAGAGTACGAGTAGTGGACATCTTGACGGAGAAAGGTCAAGTCACTAGACCACTGGTGAAGTTGGTTCTACTCCCGCCATGCAGCGATGGAAACTCGGAGCCAACAACCACCTCGTAAACAACTTTTCATCATTATATCCCACTTCCTTTATCCACGCGATTCCACTCCCTTATATTTGGATGGATCCCACGACTAAGAGTTCATGCTTTAGTTTAGTTTTTTTCTCATTATTAAAAAAAAATACAAAATAAAAAATTTCGGTGATGGTTCTTACCCGGGTCTCCCCGAGTGGATCTGGCTACAAATAAACGACCATCATCAGATCCTAACCCAAAACATCCATAAATTGCACAGTATTTAACTGCGCACATAGAAAATGAATTACAAACCGTGAAAAACTAGCAAGTTTAACAAAAATAAATAAAAAAAATTAAATTGTACTTGACAATATTCAAAGTTCCAACCTTTCTTTAACTTGCTGGTTTTTTACTATGTTTGGTCGAGAGAGATTGTGCCGGTTGGCCCTGCATGCCCAATGATGCTGTCTTACTACTTATTACAAAGAAGAGAGCGCGGTGGTAAGAAAAACGACTAACATTGGGCAGGCAGAGTTAAGCAAATCACGATGATCACCCGCCTAAAATTAGCAATTATAAAACTTAAACTCAGTTCTGTTGTCATTGAGTTTTGGGAATCGATGGGCGTGAAGATGCCGCGTGTCTTTGGTACGGCATATGGATCGATTTTGCCATCATCCAGCGCAATCGGCGTTTGTCCATGGCACACAACGTCGATTTTAAAGGTATCGAGTAGGTCTTCAGTGACACAGTAGGGTGCGCCGATAATCAATTCGTTGACGTACTTACACGCCAGCACGCCTAGCATGCGCTCATGCAAGTTAATGGGATAATTACTGTCTTTGTAGGAGTTCACTACTGGATCCGTATGCAGACCCACCATCAAGAAATCACCCAACTCTTTGGCTTTCTCCAAGAAATCTTAATGACCTTATCACCAAGTGCTTTGGCTTGTCGCAGGGAATTGGCATGACCGAAATATACCATATCTACGGTGACCATATTAACCAATTTAAAATAAAGGACGGATGGGCACCGTAGCCATATCGTAACTCTTCTCCCTTTTTAGTAAAAGATTAGAGTAGCTCGATACTCGCTCGAAACTCGTTCATTGCTCAACTGCTCAAATGTTTGTTCAAAATTTTCAAGTTTTTGAACAATTTCATAAACAAAAGGAAATTTGTAAATTGTATTTGTCAGCAGCTGCTTTCTATTTCATGTTAAATAAATTATATTACTAAATACCAATGTAACAATCTTTGCATTATATATCAATAATTTTAAAAAATTTAAAAAGTTGCTACCAAAAATGTCGATATAAAAAAAAAAAAAAAACATTGCTCAAATTACTTGCAAAAAACTCGAATTGCTCGAGCTCATGCTCGAAAATTTTCGAGTAATGAGCATTGAACAAGTGTGCGAGTACTCGCTGCTCATATACCCGGGCTGTTTGAAAATGTGCGAACAATATCGAGAGCTCTACTTTTTACCACTACCAAATCGTCTCCCGTTATTGTTTTATTAAAACAATATCATTTATTCACTACAATTTCAAATATCTCACTAATAAAATGACGTGAACTAATTTAGTTGTTTCCGAATTTGCATATTTGCAATATATTAACCCAGTAATAACGAAATGGTTACAACTTCATGCCTAGCTGCTGATACCGATTGCCCACCTTTGGATGCTGCCGACAATCTTTCGCAGACGCAATTAATTGAGCGGCTCACACATGGTTGGCGCTACGATCGCCTGGAACGACCAGTTAGCTATACTGAATCAGGTGGTGCCCGCCTACCAATCGATGTTTATGTGCGCGCTTATATATACTTTATGCAAAATTTGGAGGCACATGATTTTCAATTTAAAATACATGTGCTGCTCCAGTTGCGTTTTATAGCTCCACGGTTAACGTTTCGCAACGTAGCACCTAACCGAAGACAACCGATTTTGGGGGAAAAGCAATTACGTGACACGCTCTGGATGCCACATATACTTTTGGCAAATGGAAGGGATTCAAGTCTGCTAGGCACAAATGCAAAAGATATATTGACTTCAATTTCGCTTGATGGCACTGTAATAATCTCATCGCGCGTAAAAGCGACACTTTACTGCTGGATGAATCTGCAGAAATTCCCTTTTGACAAATATCAATGTAGTACTATACTAGAGAGTTGGATGTACAATACCTCGGAACTGGTGTTGCATTGGGAACAAAAGCTGCCAATTACATTTGATCCGGCATTACACTTGACTGAATACGTGCTGAACGGGGTCTGGTCCAATGAATGGTTTACGACATGGCGCTAGTGCTGGAAATTATAGTTCACTTAGCTTTTCCGTGCATTTTACGCGTGAAGTTGGCTTCTATATAATGGATTACTTTTTGCCCTCAATGTTAATTGTAGCCATTTCGTGGGTATCATTTTGGTTACAAGCTGATCAAGCACCTCCACGCAGGTAGTTTCTTGGTTGTACACCATAAATCGAAACACTGAAAATGCATTGAGCGAAAGCTTAGTTTCTGAAAGAGAAATATAAGAAAAAATGCTCAATTACCGAATATGGTAAAGGAAATACAAGGCATACTTATGGGCTGTTTTTGCTTACACGTAAAAGCACATTTAGCGCATTTAGCTCTAAATGCTACTCTAAATGTACATTTATCCATACAAAATTCGTCACCTAAATGCAACTAAATGCAACTCCATTTTTGCATTAAGAATCTAAATGCTAAAAGCAACCCTGTGATCTTCCAAAATTTCCACGATTCGAACATGGTTTAATGAGAAAATGTGGCAACATTGCTTTTTCGCGTATGCAGTTGTTAGCTGCGTTTCAGTGATCGCCCATCGAAATTTCATTTATTATTTTACATTATTTGGAAAAAGAAAAGTTGCACGAATTCAACATCGATATGAAACTGATAGATATCCGGCTCAATAAGTGATCAACTCTGTGGGTTTTATTCCTTTTTAATTGAGGATATTTCAATTGACAGCACCGACAAATGAAAATATACACAAACAAATTTTCGGGTATAGTTAAAACAATTCAAATTTTTGTATTGAACTTTTTGTTTAAAATTTCTTTTTCCCTTTTCAGTAGGGTTTTTTGCACATTATCTTCTCTGTGCGAATTGATCGTGATAGATACGTATCTGAACAAGCGACAGGAACACGGCCGTTTGTCAAAAGCATACGGTTTCGAACTCGCGTAAATGTACATTTGCTAAATGCGATAGCATGAACGCTCTTCGAAAAAATATGTTCGAAAGTGCTAAATGTTGCATTTTAAATGCAGCTAAAACGCTGCATTACACATTTGACTGCTTTACTCCATGTGGCAATCGATTGAATGACTTTTTTGCCATTCAGGAAATCGTAACGTGAGCCGCTGGGTAGAAATGTCAATTTAAGTCTCAGCCTAAAGCCGGAACTACATATTTTTAAGTCTCCGCCTAAAGCCGCAACTACATAACTTCCAGCGGCGCCATCGATTTGTCGTTTATGAAGAATCATTTTTTTTTTCACAGGCTTGTAATGGAAATCAATCGTAAAATTATATTTATTAGTGGCCACTTGGAACCAGACGTAACCATGCATAAATAACGTGAACGCAGTATGTCGGTTAAATTATCGATCTTTGTCGTCAGTCATTTAAGATGGCTATCGATGCAAATATTTTTTTATTGTAATGTCGTGTTCTGATATATACGCACTAATTTTGTCTGTAGATACTCTACATATTTTTGTGCAAAAACAAATTAAAAATTATATTACAATTTTTGGGATATAAGCTACCCTGGCTATTGGCAATGGTCACATACAGTGGCACTTCAACTTTTTATTCGTGCCGCTAGGCAGTTGGGTGTCGATCTTGGCTAAACAAAATGTCTCCAAAGTACAAAGAAAGTTTGTTTGACATTGGCAGAATTTAAGCCAAAAAAAATGAAAAAAAAAAACAAAAAAATTTTTTGCGAATGCCCTCAATTTGACACTTTCTCATGATTGCCGTTGAAATTTGTTTAAATTACCATAATGTCGGGTCAACATTTATTTTTT